TGTTTTTTTGTAAAGTAATACTACTTATAACACATAAACTAAGTTTATAGCTTAATTACAGACTAAGTTTAGTGTGATTTGTGTGTCCGCTTGTGAGCGTATATCTATGTGTGTGTGGTTTACTCAAAAAAAAAGTACAATAAATATGTTGGCTGAACTAAGGAATCGTACACACTAGCCACAGAGAGATGTCCTCACAGCAAATTGGAGCAGCTGACCTCCGAGGCGGCACAGTTCGTGGAGCGTGGCAGGAATTGTATGTGCTGCCAGGTGGCGTTGAAGCTACACCAAAAAGAAAGAGACAAAAACAAAAGAGAGAGAGAGAAAGGGGCAGACATTAGTGGGCTGATCTGATAGTCAAGTCTCTAAGAGCACTTACAGATAGCGCTCGGCTAGCTGGCGCTCCACATGCGGCTTGATGCGCGCATAGTCCTTGTCTGCAATCGTTGTACTGCAATGCTGCTGCATGTACGCCAGCGTGAAGAGCTCGTTTTCGTTGTAGGAACGCAGGCCGGGCACCCGCAGCCGCCGAGTGAGTCCCAGCGCCTCATAGGTAACCGCCTGATCGATGCCAGCGCCCTGGATGGCGCTGCCAGCATCGATGGCCGTCACAAAGCTGGTCAACGCTCGAGCCGCGGTGCGAGCAGCACTCAGCGTGACATGGAAGCTCTTGAGGGCTTCCGGCGAGAAGCCGCGCAACTCATGAGCGAGACGCGGCGGCTGTCCGGCTGACAGGCAGCCTACATCCGGCTGGGCGTATTCAATTTCTGGCACAGCATCGCTTAGATCCGTGCTCTGGGCATTGAACTGCAGCAGAAAGGTGGGGAAATTGTTGATCAACGTCTCCAGGATGTCCGTGCCAATGCGCGCGAAGTTCACAGCGCTAAAATTAAGGCGAATAAAGCAGGGATTAGAGAGATACACAAAACTGATTGGTCTGGAATACACTTACACGGGATAGCGATAGTCGTAGTAGTTGTTGCTGACCAACACTCTCGAGATGAGCAGCATGTTCAGCTTGTTCGAGTAGGCAATGGGCTGCGGATGATCCCGGGTGTACATCTCGGACACAATGCTGGCAAAGAAAGCGAGGAAATTGGTAAATCAGTTGCTCGAGCTAATTATTATTGGTCACTTAAGTCACTTACACATCCAGCATGCCCAAGGGCTTTAGCTTGTTCTCCATGCGCGATCGGCGAAATGTCCAAATGGACTCCAGGTGCTCCACGAAATTCAAATTGCTCAGCAGCAGATCGTTGTAGTAGTTACTAATGTAGTCGGGCTGCTCGAGCACCTCGCTGGGTATGCCGAACTGTAGCCGCATTTCGGCTAGCTTCTTGTGCAGAAATCGCCGGGCTGTCGGCTCTAGCCAACTCGCCTGCGCCAGCGAATCCTGCAACTGGTTGCGCAAACTGTAGAACATGAGCTGCAGGAACTTCTCGTTGCCAATCGTCTTGTTTAGGCCGCCGTTGGCATCGCTCATGCGGCTGTGGGACGCTGCCTCAAACTGCTGCTTGGGCGGCTGCTGCTGCAGTGCGTCCACCGCAAAGGGCACCCAGTCGCGCACCACCCGGCTGCAGAAGAGCCAACGCGGATAGCTGGCCGTGCGCCCATAGATGGTATGATCAAAGTGCTCCGCCAGCGTGCGGTACTCCTTGGACAGGTGCGGCAGCATTTCACGCGCCAGCGACCAAATTATAAAGTTGTTAATGGGTCTGCGCGAAAACAAAACAAAGTATTATCAATCTATTTTATTGTTAAACCTTACGCTCAATTCACTTTTTGTCTGAGGTCGAGATGAGCGTCGACAGCTCGTGAAATACTTCCACATCGCGCACCAGCACTTCCGTCTCCTCAGTGATCCTTATGTTGGTAAAGATGGCCTGCAGGGATTCCAAAATGGGGAGCTGTGGCAAAACGTAACGTTGTTATAAGAAATATATATCTATACCCTATATCTAAGCAGCAGATTACGATATTTTCAAGATATCTTAACAAAACAATAGTTCATTCAATAGTTCCTATCTTTGCCTAAATACGGTCCGCTGAGAGGAGAATAGTGTGCAGCCAATAAGAAAAAGACGGTTCGACTAAACCGACTTGGCTAGACGAATATAGGAATGAAGTCGTAATATAGTTATGAAGTCGTAAACTATAATACTTTCCTATTTCCTACTAAGTAGGCCTCGTTTTGTATTTAGTGACAGAAATATCATTAGTTGTGCATCGGATAAGATGTATTGAAACGTAGGTCTACATTTAAAAAGGAATTAACAGTCTTATTTATTTTATGATATTGTTATTGATCCCTTGATTATTGAGAAAATATGAATTTTCCGTCGCATACAGGACACAGTCTAATATAATATGAGAGTAGGCTTTGCTAGGAGGAAGCCGATCAGATCAGGGTTTCTTTATTAAGCACCAATGTTCCCTTTAGGAGCTGCAGTAATTTCTTGCTCACTAAGACAAGCCCAGGTGCTCCCTTCCCCCTCTCTCTGTCTTTTGGGATACTCTTTTTAGCGTTACTATTAATACTTTATACAATCAGTGAGCCAGCTATGAAACTGCGATCCTTTGGCTTTGAAGTAAAGCCTGGCTAACGCTCACTATGCCATTAAATTCATGTATCATCATCTTTAAGAATCTTGCTATATATTTACACAGTTTTTGTAATACTGTAAATGATAATCGTTGCATTTGACAATTATAAATATGTACTCATTGATTCTTTGAAGTCTCTTAAGGCCCAATTCTGAACTGCATGACATATTTTATGGTTGTTAAGTTAAGGATTTGTTTTGGTTAAGGATGCGAAGCAGCTGTCTGCCTTTGGATTCGTTTGGTGTCCAACATCCGCGAATCCAGGCTTGTGCACGTATGTTACGTATGCTTCAAACCCGTTTCACTTCAAGGTGAGAGAACTTTCTGCTTTCTGATATTTGTTTTCTAATATACCAAAGTGCTATCCACAAATTAATTAGTATGCTGCCAACTTAATTTGAAACTAGTTTTTTTTATAGTAATTGGGAAATCACAGTGAGCGGTAGCTCCCGCTGTCGCCGCGGTTGCCTTACCGATGGCGCTATGCTCTTGAGCTCGGCCAGCCGGAGCAGCTTGTTCTGCTGACGCTCGCCGCTGCCCTTGGCGGCTTCAATGTGATTGACAATGCGGCGCTCGTAATAGAAGATGTCATCCGCAAAAAGATCCGCCTCGCGCGACACCATGCCTGTGAGGGGAATGAAAACGTGAATGAATTGGACTGCAGATTGGTAGATGGGCATGTTGATGGCTTACCCATGTTGATGGCAAAGTCGCGCAGGAGCAGCTTATAGCCGCGCACCACCTCCTCGTCGGCATCGGGGCCATAGAAGTACTTGTCCGGCAGTCCCAGCTGGCCCTCGTCCAGGGTTATTATGTAGTCGTAGGGCATTTTATAGCTGTTCTCCACGCTAACGCGATAGTAGGGAAAGATGCCGAACTTGGCCTGTAGAAGCTTTAGGGCGCTCTTGTACTCCCAGTTCTGCAGCCGATTTGTTGCCGAAAATGCTTGCCAGCCACCTGAAAGGGGAAAGGGTGGTTGAGTCGAGAGTGGCAATTAGTATTATGCGGTAATTCAGTATGCGGAGGAATGACCCATCGCACCGCTACCCCTGCAAGGGGGGGTGCGGAGCGAGGGGCTGGTGGTGGGGCTAATGAAATTCCACAGAAGCAAGACATGAAATTTGGCAAAACTTATGACAGCACCATATGCATATACATATTAGTGTATATCGATCAGTCAAATAAATATCTTTTGCATACGTGTCCATGTGTGTATGTATATATGTGTGCGTGTGTATGTGTATTTTTGGGTTTATAACAATTAAAAGCGCTAAAATGTTTGGCTGCAACGTCTTGGAAATCTCAGACCACTTCAGTCTTGCAGTCATAAAAAAAAAACTATCACACAGTAACGACATTTGTATGCTCTATAAAATAAAAAGTCAAACGAACTATTTCAGCAATATTCAAATATGCGGGAACTAAGAACTAAACTGGAAACAGAAATAAACATTGTATTGTTCATATAACAAGTATCTTAAAGTGTTTCGAATAAAAGGAGATTTTAAAGTTGTAAAGTTGCTTGAGAAGCTTTAAGCGACATGTTTTTTCGCTTCATGGTTTGAACCAGCTTCCTGCCTTGAGATTCTGCTCGTAAACTTGGCTTGCCGAATGCAGGCTTCGGTTCAAATCTTGCCTTATCATAGTTTTTCATTGGAATACTTGCTGTGAACTGGGCCGTTAGAAAACCTTACAAAAAAGAAAAACTTCCAATCATAAATCTCCTCAGCTTCTATGGGTAAGCCACAATTAACACAATCAAGTGCAAGTTTTTGTGTTTAAAAAGTATTCCTTATATATGATCGCTTTTAAGATGTTTTTTATTTGATTTATGCATCTATCCGTCTATTCATCTATTCAAATATGTTAGTTTTTATGTTTTTATGAAATTATCTGGTATTTCGAGCACTTCACGCAGCCCTAAAATGATCCATTTGTTACATTGAGAGATTTCATGGGCAAAGAACTTTACGGCTTAAATTCAAGTCTCGATCGGCCCATTTGAGAGGGGCTTTCCGAGCTTGTCAGCTTCGGGCATGGCCAAGTGGCATCTGCCAGCTGATGGCGGCAGTTTGAGGCACTCTTGGACACACACATTGGGATCGATTGTGTCAGCTGTGTTTGCGGTATTAATTAGCGCCTGCGAGGCGAAAAACTAAAATCTAATTCCCCAGGTCCGTGCTAGCCGGATTTGTGATGTGTTATAGTTATATTTGATTTTAACAATTTATTGCAAATCAATGCGAGCAAATTAATTAACTTCAATTAAAGTCGTCCCAGTCTAGCGACACTCTCTATAAAAACTGAACGCCGTTGCCAAACAGGGCATCAATCCAGTGCAGCAGCTCCAGCGCTAAAGTACAATCGAGTCCAGACGCGTTCCTTGTGTAAACAGCATGAACAAATTTATGGTAAGTGAACGTGAGCTGAGCTGAGCGGAGCAGACCCGGAATGGAATCTAATCTAATCGGATCTGATGATGAATTGTAATCCGCTTGCAGTTTTTGGCCTGCTTGGCAGTGCTCGGCTGCAGTCGCTGGGCAGCGGCGCGTCCTGATCTCAGCCGTCAGGCCTACCGTTACGAGATTGGCCAAAACGACAACGTTGTCAACACTGGCATCGTGTCCCCGCCGGTGATCACCACAAGCACCTCGTATCAGCCAACGGCATCGGGCAACACCTACTACAACAATGTGCCCACTGTGGGTCAGCTGACAGTTGTGGGTAGCTCTGGCTTTGTGCCCTCCACCCAGGTGAGCGGCGGTCAGTACAGTGGCGGCAACACCTACACCACCAGCGGCGGCGGCGGCGGCGGTGGAAGCGGCAGCATCAGCAGCTCCTTCTCGAGCGGCGGCGGCGTCGGCGTTGTGAATGATCATATTGGTCTGACTGGCATCCATCCGGGTCCCGCTGTCAACTATAAGGAACAGGAGGCGTACATCAGCCATTTGGCCAACTTCCAGCCACCGATCATTAGCAAACACTTCTATCTGCACACCGCACCCGAGGATCACGATGACCAGCAGATTGTGCGCTATGTGAATGTTGGCAGGCCACAGAAGAACTATCGCGTGGTGTTCATCAATGCGCCCGCATCCACCACCAGCAAGGCCAAGATCATTGCCAACGTGGCTCCAGTTGAGGACAAGACCGCCATCTATGTGCTGTCCAAGAAATCGAACGCTCTCGATGTCACCGCCGAGGTGGTCACACAGCGTCCAGCCAACCACAAGCCCGAGGTTTACTTCATCAAGTACAAGACACCCGAGGAGGCGGCACATGCCCAGCAAACCATCCAGGGTAGGTCCAAGCAGCTGCAGCCCCAGTAGATGTCTCATTTTAATATATCCCCCTCTCTCTCTATCTCGCTCCATTAGCCAACTATGACGCTTTGGGCGGCAGCTCGGAGCTCAGCAATGAAGGCATTGTGCCCGTCTCATCGGTCATCAACGCCCTGGGCGACAATGGCGCCTCTGGTGTTCTGGCCGATGGCTCCGGTCACGTCAACATTGTTGGCACTGGCGGTGCTCCAGTTGTCGAGAACACTGTCAACGGCGGCGTTGACAGCTCCGGCATCAGTCTCCAGTACGACGTGAACGGTAGCAGCAGCGCCAACAGCCAGACCACGACGCAGCTGGACAGTGGCAGCCTTGTTGGTAACAATGTTATTCAGACCTCCTATCTGCCCTCCAAGCCCATCAGATCGGTCAAGTACTAAGCATGCAATCTCGTCAATTGCATCCTTCCACAGACAACCCAGCTGATTGGACAGAACACACAAACACACACACACACACACACAAAACGCACGCCCGCCCGATTCTTGCTTCTAATTGAATAATCCAAAGCGATTATTTGCCTAGAATTTGTTAAACTTAACTCTTGCGATATTCTATTTAGATATTTTTGCGATCTATGCAAAAAACAAAAACTATATATTTTTTTTCCACAATTTTTTTTTTTAATAAAATTTAAGGATTTCTTTAAGCATTCAAAAAATGTAAAAATCATTTGAAGTTTTCTTTTGTAGCAAAGAAGTGGGCAGAAAAGAGAAAACCTTGGGAAGCCTCAAGGAATCGTTGGGTAAGTGACACATTTCAACTTATGCAACCAAAAGACACCAAATTATATAAGCTGCAAATAGTTTGCTGAAAATATTCACATCAGATTTGAAAGTCAAATTATGGTTAACAGCAGCTGCCATTTGATAATAGAAATTAGAACGTTTTAGGGCAATTTTAATTTAATAATAATTGGTTGTGCCTTGCACCAGCTGGCGCCAAAATGCCCTATGCCCCCGCCCTGCCCGTCCGTTCTCCCAACCAGGTCTAGTGTTTGGCAAGCTCTTCATAATTGTTCGAACTGCAACATCAAACGAATAAAACTTTAGAAAACTGAGCCGACCACCAACCGAAATCGATGGCAAATAAATTAGCGTCTTAATATAAAAAAAAAAAAAGAAAAAGAAGAAAAATAACAAAATAAGAAAAAACAAAGTCGAATCAAAATCAAATCGGAGAGCAACGCGCTGCAAGGTCGATTCGCCAATGCAACGCATTAAAATACCAGAAAGTATTATATAGATATATATATATATATATATATATATATATATATATATATATATTTATAAATACTATATACATGTCTATTATAAAAGCCAGCTAGGTGCCACGCCCCGCGTCAAGCGCCCCAAAAGCGACGGCATCGACAAATTTATGATCAAATATATGGATTACAACGCCAGCAGATGCTACCTGGTATTTGGCCTATGTGATTTGGTATCTGCATCAATATCTATATCTTGTATCTGAAAAGCATCTGCATATTAATGCGTCGCGATCTTTGCATAAAGATAATCACACCTACTAAATAAACGATACGATCTGTTGCCAGTCGCGTTGAGTCGACTCGAGCTGAGCTGAGTTGAGCTGAGTTGAGGCGAGGCGAGGCGAGTCGCGTCGCGTCGCACATTTGTCCCTCGGTTTTTACTGTCAGCATTCATAAAAAGTTACATAAATTATTTGCAGAGGCTTTTTATGTCTGAGCTTGATCGGCCGGCCGCATCGACGAAGAGATATGGAATTATGAATATGGAATGCCTAATTGATAATTATCGTTTTGTTCGCCTTTGGTTTGGCTGCGTATAACTAAATTAGTGGATCGGCCGATAGATCTGTCTCAATCTTTCGATCTTAGCTGACATTCACTGTTCGGCGGAGATAGGCAGTTTTATGTGCGCTTATCAATCAGCAGCAGTCATCAATTATCAAACATCAATCACGCGATCATAAATCGGTTCGCCAAATGCAAATCAATCGAGCTTCCACATTTACCCAAAAATTATGTTTATATGGCGACTCTTTGTGGCGACCTCCAAGGCAGACCAGCCGAATGTGTCGCACTCGCCTGACTCATCAGCTAAATGTGTCTTTGTTGCTGAGTGCTTTAGGAGGCCACCATATAAGGCAATGCTCAACAACAAGAGCTGAAGAATAAACATAATTGGACATGCTATGCTTGCTTTGGAAAACCCAAAAAGAAAAAAAAAACAACGCTCAATATAGTCCATTAACGGCCCATTTCGATTGTTCAACTTGTCACAATAAGTAGCTAAAGGTTTACAAACATACAAAACTTTTCTAGTCAAAAGAATTTACAGTCGAACAAGAAATAAAGTTTCCTATCCGGCTGAATTATTTTTATCTGGAGACTTATATGAATATAGCTACAGATTTTTTTGAACGAACCTCCATAAATACAGGATTTGTCATATATTTTTAGAATTTTTAATATCCCCCTGCCCGTTGTACTGAAAATATTTAAAGCCACAACTATTTTCATATACAAAATGCGGGCTAAATTTGAACTTTAGCCAAAATTGGCATATCTAACAAGTATGGTTAGATATATCCAATTTATGAGCTATTTCCATCCATCTCAATATATATATTTCTCAGATACCAGTTTCAAGCTATGATTTGTAGTAAAAGTATATTTAAATTCTGGGCGCAAATCGGTTTGGTTACATTATCTTTATATACATCTGCATGCTTGTATTAAACTTCACATTCAATTCTAAATGTTTTCAAATCCAACTTTGTTATTCCTTTCCCCTGTTACCAGTCTATGTATGCATACAGTATATCAATTTGTTATATTATTAAATTTTATCCTTGATAATTTGAATATCCAATTGTAGAGTTGCCACCCTGCAACACTTGCCACGTACGGCAACCCCTACAAAAATAAACATGTTTCTAAAAACAAAGTTTTATTTAAACAAAAATATTTATTTGCATATCCTTTAAAGTTTGTTGGGCCCGGATTTAAATTTAAAATTTTGAATAAATAAAACGTATCCATATAAATAGTTTATTATAGATATTTTTGATATATAGCATATATATATAATATAATTAGGCTGGTTTAGGGACTTGGGGATTATTTATAAAATGTTAAAGCATGGAAAAAGGTTGTGTGTATTTTTTCAAGTTAGTTCACATTGGCGAAGACTGTCTGATATATGGCTACTATATATATAAACATATATATATATATATATACATCACAATCACATCGCGTCATTCATATTAAGATGATGTATAAAATCATCTTTTAACTGTTTCAAATTTGCAAGTTAATCGATCAACTATGTGATGGGCAGGCCAGCATTGCCCTGGGGCAAAGAAAAACCCAGCAAACTAGTTTCGTCTCACAAATTTGGCCGATTGTTTGGTGGTAAAATGGAGGCCTAGAGTCGCAAGACTGAGAGTTGTCATGTTCAGGTGCCGTTTAATTAGATGCGAACGGTCAGCAAAGCCTACAAACCTGGCAAATTTTCAGTATATCGGGTCTATTAATAATCTAAGCTAACAATAGAGGCCAGCGCTACAGTCAAGTTCAATGCCTAAGCTGCCAAAAGATATATACAAGCCCAGATGTACGAATATATAGATATATGTATATATACAGAAAACAGATACGAACTGAACATAAAGAAACAAGCGACTATTGTTATAGATATCTATGGGCTTTATTCAAAATGTAAACCATGGCTACGCGGCGCATACAAGAATCAGCCACGCCCCATTTTGAGTGTACTGCTGAGTCAACTGGCAGAGGCGGCGCATCTGTGAGATACATTTGTGCATGCAAGAGATTTGAATAAATTTTTGGATAGCATTCGATGCTTGAGCCTATCTTGAAAGTTTGAGTCTTGAATGTTAAATTGTTATTGCTTGGCCAGCCAAGCTGCGCTGGCTGATTTACATAAATTACAACAACAATTCAAGCCAAATGACTGCGCCGACAGCGCAGCCGGCAGCCGATCTGGGAAGCGGCAGCGCATATAAGTCAAGTGGAGCGACAAGAAATGCAAGCATTGCCCCAAAGCAATCCAAACCTAAACGTGCTCAAACGAACGCGACGCGATACCAAATATCCATATATATATATATCCGCATCAGCAACACTCGCAGCAGGATTACCCAAGGATAACTAATACGAAACATTTAAGAATGCATTCCATAACGGCTCCAATTGTGCTCGGCTGTATCGCCGCTCTGCTGGTCGTGGCCCAGGCCCGTCCTCAATACGGCTATGAGCAGCCGCAGCCTGGCGATTTGCTTGTGGGCGGCGGCGGTGGCGGCGTTGGATTGCCCAATGCCGGCGGGCAGTTCGTGGGTCAGCTGCCGGTGCCACATCGCGGCGGCGACAAGTATTTGCCACCTGCCAGCACGACGCCAGCGCCCATCATCAATAAGAAGTTCTATTTGGTGTCGGCGCCGGAGGATCGCAGCAATGATGGCAAAGTGAAGCATTTGGTGCTCGGCAGGCCGCAGAAGAACTATCGCGTGGTGTTCATCAAGGCGCCGGCTGGCGACAATGCCAACGTGAAATACTCGGCCGAGTTTGCGCCACAGGAGGAGAAGACTGTCATCTATGTGCTGAGCAAGAAGGATAACGATCTGGATGCTGGAGATATTGCAACGCCCGCGCCCACACAGCCCAGCAAGCCGGAGGTGTTCTTCATCAAATACAAGACCGACGACGAGGCCAACCAGGCACAGAAGGAGATTCAAGGCCAGTACGACAAATTGGGCGGCACCAACGAGTTCCAGGAGGATAACAATGCGCCCATCACCTCCGTTATCGGCAGCCTCGATGGCCTCAATCCCGATGGCAGCTACAACTATCGCCAGATCAATCGCCCGAACGCCCAGCCCAGTGCCCAGTATCTGCCCAGTGCGCTTAACCTTTAAGCTGAACGATAGTTAGAAAGGATCTACAAACAGTTTCCTGCCCCGCCCACATCCCCCCACTTCAGTCCTTTACTCCAACGAACTTGTTATTGTGTTGTTTAGTTTTAAGCACATTTTTTTTTTGCTTGAATTTTTTTTTTTTTATTGTTTTTTGTTTTTTAAAAGAAAAAAATATATAAATAAATGAACGAACTGTATATTTAAAAAGTACGCAACGTTTTTTAAAGAGATGCTTCTTTTTGGTAAGGTCGCGTAGTTTCCGCGCTATAAAATGCCATTTAAAAAATTAATAAAAATGCCATAAATAAATTGAAATGTTGCTCAAATCAAGCAGAGCGGCTAGTAAAAAAGGTCCAAAGCCGGCCCACAGCAAAATGTTCAAATGCAAATCAACAATTCAAACGTCCAAAATGCGACAGTCAACAAAGCGCTCGGCGCCCGAAATAGCTCAAAATTAGCTTAAATGAAGTGAGAAATCAAAATAAGCTCATCAAATTTAATTATAATTGAATCAAACAACGCATCTTTTCTTCGACCGATCGTTAAACTGACGCCGCATGACAAAATACGAAGTCGACGAGGGAAACAACATGCCGCTACTTGTGCCAAAAAAAAAAAACAAGTAAGAGGCTCTAGTCGAGAGCTTCCGACTAGGGGATACCCTGCACCCTCTTCTTCCAACATCAAATGCCTATATATATTCTATTTTAGGAGCTGTTTGTCAAGTTTGGTGACTCTAGCTCTTATTATTTACCAAAATTGCCTAAAAAACAGGATATCGATTTTTATCGATTGCTTGGAAACGGAGTAAGTTATCGATTATCGGAAGCAAACTCAATCTGCGCTGGCACTAGGAGGATCTACATATAATTTCAAGTCTCTAGCTCTTATAGGTTTTGAGATCCTTGCGTTCATACATACGGACGGACGAACAGAAGGACAGACAGATCAAGAATATATATACTTTATGGGGTCGGAGTTGGTTCCTTCTGCCTGTTACATACATTTTGCTTTCGCACAAATACAATATACCCTTATACCAATTTTTGATGGGTTCAGGGTATAATCATCGAAAAAGTTTCGATTTTCGCACCGACCTCTATTTTGAAAAAAAAAGGAATGTAACCCCTTGCCATTTTGTCGATTGGGGTCAAAATTTTGGATTTCCTTTTTTGTCAAACGATAGAACTGATCCTTACGAATCAAAAATGGTATGAAATTGCAAAATCGAACATTATTTGATAGAAATTTTCCAAAAAATGATCAAAAAGGTTTCATTTACAAAAGAATCGGTTTTTTGTCAACAACATTTTTCAACACATCGATGATTGTTATGTCGTTTTGGAACGTCATATCTCCGCCTGGAGTTATGTCGTTTTGGATCGTCATATCTCCAAGCGGAGTTATGTCGTTTTGGAACGTCATATCTCCAAGCGGAGTTATGTCGTTTTGGAACGTCATATCTCCAAGCGGAGTTATTACCCGAGAGCTAGTACCTAGGAGCTAGTACCTAGGATAGGTCCGAGAGCTAGTACCTAGGATAGGTTCGAATATCAAAACTTTCTAGAATATTTTTTTAAAAATCTCAGGTAAATATAATCCGATATTAAAATATTATACCTTTTTGAATTCGTACGGATCCCTACTATCATACGGCATTCAAACAAATTAATAATTGATGGGTTGAAATGAGTTGTTGACCAAAAAGCGAGCTCTGTCGTTTTGGAACGTCATATCTATGTCGTTTTGGAACGTCATATCTTCGCGCGAAGTTATGTCGTTGTGGAACGTCATATCTCCGCCTGGAGTTATGTCGTTTTGGAACGTCATATCTCCGCGCGGAGCTATTACCCAGGGTAGGTTCGAATATCAAAACTTTCTTGAATATTTTTTTGAAAATCTCAGGTAAATATAATCCGATTTTAAAATATTATACCTTTTTGAATTCGTACGGATCCCTATTATCATATGGCATTCAAAGAAATTTAAAATTGATGGGTTGCAAAAAGTTGTTGACCAAAAAACGTTTCGTTTGTATAATCAACCAATTTTTTTTTTTATTTTTTTTAGACTATCTCGGCCAAGTAATCTCAGAGTCGAAGCATTCGCCAACCCATACAAGAGACCTCGCTGAGAGGTGTGTAGTCAGAAGGCTCAAGAAAAGATCCTTTAGAGACCTTCTCCAACCACGACACAGGAGAAGACGGCTTTGACGTTTGTCCACGATAAAGCCTGAGGAGCTAACCAGGATTGGCGAAATACCACCTAAGTTAACGGTTTTGTAATAAAAAAATATACTATTTTTTGATACAATACAATAAACATATATAAGTTAAAAAAAAGCTAACTTTTTCACGATTTTTTTTTAAACTCTCGGGTAAATATACCCTGTTTTTGAAATGTTATACCTTTTTGAATTCGTACGAATCCCTACTATCATACGGCATTCAAACAAATTAATAATTGATGGGTTGAAATGAGTTGTTGACCAAAAAACGTTTCGTTTGTAAAATCAACCTTTTTTGATAATTTTTGTAGACTATCTCGGCCAAATAATCTCAGATTTTGAAATTTTATACTATTTTTGACTCGTAAGGATCAGTACTATCTATGGCCAAAAAACATTTCGCTTGCAAAGTTTACCTTTTTAGGAGTATCTCAAGTGAGATTCATTAAATTATGCTAAATGAAGTACTGTCCGAATCGAGCTCTCTCCACTGGATTTATTCAAGCCATATAAATAGGTAGCTTTATCTAAATCAATATACTTACTTTGCATACCCAAGCCATTTGCATGAACATAATCTTAAACAAGTAAGAGGTTCTAGTCGGGAGCTCCCTTCTCTTCTTCCAACATCAAATGCATATATATATTTTATTTTAGAAGCTATATGTCAAGTTTGGTGACTCTAGCTCTTATTATTTACCAAAATTGCCCAAAAAACAGGATATCGATATCGATTTTAATCGATTGCTTGGAAACGGAGTAAGTTATCGATTATCGGAAACAAACTTGATCTGCGCGGGAGCTAGGAGCATCTACATCTAAAATTGTCTCTAGCTCTTATAGGTTCTGAGATCCTTGCGTTCATACATACGGTCGGACGGATAGACAGACGGACATGACTAGATCGACTCGGCTATTGATGCTGATCAAGAATATATATACTTTATAGGGTCGGAGAAGCTACCTTCTGCCTGTTACATACATTTGGATGCCAAGCCTGCTGCGGCTGGGAGCCGCCAGATAGTCGAATTCTCAAAAAAATAAAATCGAATAAAATAAAAAAAAATATTGCTGTTGATATTTTAATTGTCTCGACTTGTTGACAACGCAGCCAAACCAAAACGAATTAATCTACTAATCAGCCGCGAGGCTGCGAAACGCACCAAAAATTAAAAGTAAAACAAAAAAAAAAAAGAATTAAAAAATTCAACATTTGGACAAATGCAAAGGCTGTGAATTGAGCATACGTGAACGCAGATTAGATCACACTAGCTGTGCACAAGCCCATTAGTCAAACAATAAAAACTGTGCGCGGGCGTTGAATGATGCCGTGGACAATGGCTACATGAGTTTTGGTCAACGATAAAAGATAAATGATTCGCCTGAAATGAGGCGAATCTATAACAAAATCAGTTAGGCAATATGCAGCTAAAAACAAGTCTAAGCAAATCGAAACTATTTACAAAAAAAAAGTGCAGCTGAAACAAGATTTCCATCCAAGCTAAGTTCACTTAGTTTAAGGCTCAATTTGAGCCGTCGTGTGCATATTACGAAAATTATCTAAAGATCTTAGCATTAGATGATGTGGTAATGATTTGGCTGTTAACGGCTCTTTTGTTTTCATTCAAACGCACAATTAATTTGCAGCAAGTTTGTTGCCTAAGTCTTTTGTTTTGCAGCTACTAATTGGGCCAGAAATCTGTGCAAAATTTTAGGGTTCTCCACGTTACAAAAATATATAAAACTGAAATAGCGCTGTCGGCTGCCTCACACATTTTGTGGCATCCACCAGCGGCATGTTTAGCGTGTTTACTTTTCTCGGTTCGGTAGCGCTTTTGGGCTTGAGCCAGGCTCATGTGCCGTCGCGTTTCTATCTGCCACCGGCGGCAGGTGAAAGCTTTGCTCCAGCTCCAATCATTACCAAACAGTTTTATAGCGTATCCGCAGCTGAGGATTCGGAGGAGCTGCAGCCACGCACCAAGCATCTGCTAATTGGACGCGGCACGCGCAACTATCGTGTAATCTTCATACGCGCACCCAGCGCTCAGAGCGAGGCTGTGAAATACACGGCCGAGCTGGCGCCGCAGGAGGAGCGCACAGTCATCTATGTGCTGAGTCGCAAACAGCCGGAGCTGGAGGCGCACGACGTACAGCCGCATCAGCAGCAGTCGTCGTCAGACAAGCCGGAAGTCTTCTTCATCAGATACAAGACCAACGAGGAGGCGGCCGCCGCTCAGCGCGAAATTCAAACGCAATATGACCAGCTGGGCGGCAATACAGAGCACGCGGCGCCCTATGTGGCGCCAGTGCAATCCGTAATTGGCGCCCTAGATGCAGCCAAGCCAGTTGCTGCTGCTGATGGCTACAACTATCAGCGACCCACGGCGCGTTTTCTTTGAAGATTGGCGGTGCTGCTGGCGTTTGGGTGGTGTCGAATTAACGATCGACCCATGCGCACCACTAAGTAGCTTATTAACATTGCCGGGTAGCAGCATTTGCATAAAACTGATAAGCGTTCAACATGTAGACAATACCGATTAAAATAAAACCCCAATAATCCAAACACAGCAACAACAACAGCAGCAACAGCCACAAAACTCGTCATAAAAGTTAGCGAACGCGTAAATAAAAAAAAAGGTTCAGCTCAATAGCCGCAAAGTGTTTCTTTTTATGTTTCGCATACTTTTTGCAAACTTTTGTTTTTTTGTTTTTTTTTTTTTTTTTTAAATAAAGTTATTTTTTGCGCTTTTTGCAAAGTGCTTTGACCCTGTGCCAAACGAGGCACATTAGCAGCTAAAGCCAGTGCGGAGCATATGGACAATCAGCATAGCAAAGGATTAAAATATTTGATCTTAAATTGTATCTCAAAGTCAAATTTAAAAATTAACTTAATGTCAAATGAATATTTATATAAATGTGTTTCTCCTGACTGACCGATTGCTCAACTAACCCACAGTCTGAAGCTTCCCTCCTTCTGTGAGCACCAAGACGCGCTTTTGGATGATTCGGCTACCACGTGGAGGTAAACTGTGGCCAAAGCTCAAATTCAACAGCTTTTCTCAATGTTCATATATATTTAGGCCCCCAAAAATAACAACAAAATATACGTAGAGCTGATAGCAACGCCCTTTTCAACAAGATTTCGAAGGTTTCTCTAGAGAATTTTGGAACATTTTCATATAAATATAAATTAATAAATAATCACAATAAAATAAAAAATTAAAACAGCCAGCAAGCTGCTTTATTTAAACTTAAATACTTCATGAGGTAGTCCCAATGACTACGTAACGAATTGGGCTGCATTTAACTGAGGGGCTTTGTAGTTCGTCTAAGTTCGTCACCCAACTTATGGCCAAATTTACATAAATTTTGCAAATAATTAAATTGTGAACAACAAAAAAAAAATACAAGATATCAATGCATCTTTTTATATATTTGGCTTCTTCGCAAGCAGCTCTTGTAGATTTATTTGCATTTGCATTTAATTAATGGGACTGTGGAAGCGGCGGCCATATCTGGACATCAACTGGGCGACCTTTTTGTGATTGGCAGCCGAACCGCACAGGCTGGCAGCTATTAATCTTTAAATATGCATAAAAAAAAGAAGAAGAAGAAGAAGAAACAAAAGAAAAATCCAAAAAGATAGAGGAGGAAAGGTTATGCAAGCGATATTCAAGGGCAGTGCATTAATTGGCCAGGCTGAGGAAGTTTGTGTTCTAAGTCATTCGTTTGGGCCGCGCCACTTGACCCACAGAGCTGGCTTAATTGGTATATATATATATATATATATATATATATGCATAGAGACAGTATTTTAATACCGCCATCTGACTAATAAGTATTTGGTATCTGGTGGGTTATTGTATTCAATCGGCTTATTTCAAGGTGGCCAGCGCGCATAAATCATAACATTTTAGCCATATAAAATGTGGTCTTAAGTAAACGGCAGATCGTCGGCCGCGCAAACCACCGACAAAGCCCTCGCCCCAAAGCGCATTCAAATTATGCCAATTATAATGAAATTTTTCAATAATAAATAAATAAATAAATATACACAAAATATAAATAAAATAAGACGACGTTCGGAATTTCTGCTTTTAGCCGCTATCTAAAAATACAAAATGACACAACATAATCGAGTCATCTTTTTGTTTAGATGCGTGCCGCCACCGGCCGCTCTTATCAAATGCTTCAATTTACAAAAAACCGAGACCCAGACTCAGACCCAGACCCAGACCCAGACCCCCAGACTGCACATTTGGTAAGAGACCCAGCCGCAACCACGACAAGTGTGCATACTGGTCACACGTCTTCATTGAATTGTCTCGAACTTGCTCGGCCATGTAACTCGGAAAGATCTTGCATTAAGTTACCTGTCTCAAGACCATTATGCAAGCCTTAATTTATTCAATTAATAGCTCTCTAAGCATTTTTAAAGTCTTCTAAAACAATTCACTTGAATTTAGAATGATTTATTGCATACTCTATCTATTAAGAGGTTTGAATCCCAAACTTCGTGCTTAATGGCATATATGAAAAAATATGTACAAAAGTTGCTGTTGTCTGAAACTGTTGTCACAGTGAAATTACAGCTTAAAACAGGGGATCTGAGTATTCCTGATTATTGGGGCGTTAGAGAGAGATTGTTAGCCCAAAATAATGGCTTTCAAACTGTGATTTGAGATCGATTGGCGCATGGTATGGCGCCATGATTTGCCTCGATCTTTAGACCATATCAGTAGACTACTTGAAAAAGAAGACTTGGCTACGAAATTGCCTCGATCTTTGGAAGAGAACATCAAAAGACTTCTTGGGGACTGTGGCTATAAATCTGTGTGTAGATGTAGATTTCGATATTCGCCCCTTAATGGGAGTTGTCAAAAAATGCTTAAGTTTCAATTTGTATGCCTCTCGCTGCGATTGCTTCGAAAAAAATGCGTTCTTAATCGACACCAAGACACACATTGCCTAAAAGGAATATTGCAAACAGAGTAAACAAATAGGATTTTATCTAAAATTAATAAAAATAATAAAATCATTTGAGAAATATCAAATAGAAAATTGTATGAAGAGAAAAGCTTTCGCAGCGTATCATATAAAAACAATGAATAATACGAATTTCGTCGATTTTCCAACATTTGCATAACATTAATATAGCGCACAGTGCCCCCGTGTGGATGCACGGCATTTCGATCCGGGGAAATTCTGCCAAGTCTCAACGTAAAAGTGTGCAAGTCATGCAAAACAAGGAAAGCAATGCACTTGATCACGGGTTGTCCACGGTATGTCAGGAACTTAACTCTGCATAGAGACCTGAATCTGGCGCTTGCCAAAGTCCAGATTGCTTCCATTCCGGCGGCACGACGCAGGAGGCGTCCATCAGGCCACCTAAGACCGTAATTCATTACTACTTATAAGCTAGTTTTTATATAACTACTACAACAAAATAACTTGTTTCAAATACTGTTTATTGTACAGACAGCTAACTGGATACTAAGCGCATTATAAGATACCCTGAGCCCCAATAGGCACTTATTAAATTAAACTATAAAAAAAAGGCACATAGCCCTTAACATATTTTAATAAGTACAGGGTATTAAATTTGAATTATCAGATCCCTCCGTCTAGAAAAAGAACCCATATTATGGAATAACACCAAACTTTGATCCATTCATGTTGCTTGTGACTTAATTGTCTGCGTCCCATGAACTAGCCTAGAATCAATATAATTAAGTTTGGCGAATGAGAAACATTATTCCACGAATCTTTTGCTCTCGCTTGGGGGCCTACACATAATTAAATACTTATTAGCAATGGCAGAGTACGTCAAACACAAATCCCATTGCGGAAGTAAGGTGCGTATAATCTTCAAGAAAAAAATCCCAGAGAATTTGTTTGAAGGGAAACAAAATAGCAAACATTTAACCCGTTCTATTGAACATTTGAGCCCAGACAGCAGACAAATTGCGTACATTAATAACATTATCAGTAAAACCGTAAGGGTGTGCTAGTCGAGAGTGCCCGACTAGGAGATACCCTGCAGCACTAACCATAGAGCATATGTTGGCATAATGAACAAGGGAACAAGATATCGAAAATAAAAGACACGATCTTGAAAACTTTTAGTTTAAGGTATAAATTTTCTAGATCTTCTAGGCTCCAACATCTACGACGGGGATGAGAAATAGGAGAATTAGAGTGAGAGTATTTGAAAAATGAATGCAAACAGAGTTTTTAGAAACAGCTCAATTTAATTTATAATTAATTATATTTATTTAATGGTTTCAGGGGATGTTTTCGGCGCGTTATGCTGGCAATCACGAATCAGGCACAGATATTGTTATGATTTAGTTAATTGGTGCGTAATTATTTTAGCCCCCATATCAAGTCATGTAGATGACCTTAATCTTGAGCTGACAACAAATAATGATAGAATTGATTCGCGTTTCGCTGCGTTCTGCACATAAATTAATTAAGCAATCGATCAATTCGAGATCTCAAGGAGTTCACATCTAGCTGCAAAGACAAAACTGCAACGGAAACCAAAAGAGATGTTGTTTGATTGTTTAATCAGTTTGTTTAAGCTAATGCTGATGCGTTGTCAATGGCCGGTGAAGAGCTGCAAACTGATCACTTGAAGCTTTGATTTATGGCCACGAAGAGCAGCAGCAACAACAGCCATCAAACACAACAGGTCACATTAAAGGAAGCCAGAGGAGATCTGATGCGAATGCGAGTGCGAGTGGGAGCGAGAGGGCGCTCGAGCGTCGAGTAGATCATCAAATCAAATGTCAGAGGTTCGCATAGCCAAATAATTGAGCAATTAATTAGCCACGATATTATAGAAGAAAAAAAAAAAACAAAATGATAGCAACAACAGCAACAACAACAGAAATATGAATAGTGTATATTGAATATTGAGTATTTTGAGGAGGGAATCGCTTTGGGGCCTAAATAATCGACTATAAAAACCCAAATGACAGCGAGGAGCAGCAACAGTTAATCAACAACTGAAGCTCAACCAAGTCTAACTCCAACATGCGTCTCGTTGTGGTAAGGCCTTAAGGATAACCCAAGGATTAACTGCCAGCGGCCTGTCACGCACTCTCATTTCTCCTTTCACGTAACAGAGTCTTTGCACGCTCCTCGCCTTGGCGCAGGCCAAGCCGCAGGGCTACAACTATGGCAGCGGCGTCTCTGGTACTCTGACCACCGCGGGCGGTGGCGGTCACAGTGGCTCCTTTCTCAGCGCACCTAGCGCCACCCAAAATGTGGCTAGCTATGGACCACTAGGCGCCTTCCAGGGTGCCAGTGTTGGCTCACTGCTGAGCAGCAGCGGCTCCGGCGCCGGCTTGGGACATGGTCAGCACGGCAGCACGATTGGTTATGGCGGCGGCTC